GTTTTATTTAGGATATTATTAAATATTTATTTCTTATTAGGATCTGACTGTCGGTGGTCAGGAGCAGCCCAGTTCCTGACTACGAGTGGATTGAATGTGTTTAATGGCTAATAAGTTAGCCATTAAACACAGTAGTTCACTTAAAAAGAGGGAGTCAGATCTATTACACACAAATTAATGGTAAATAAGGGGTTGCTTTGTATTCATTTTGATCGACTAACAGCTAATGAAACCTCAAAATGTAAATACAGAAATATTAGTTTGCAGTCATCAGGGAGACTGCTGAGTTGATAGACAGGATTCATGAATACTTATATTATTATTATTGATTATACGTATGAATTGCTGGAGAAAACACTATGACGGAGGAACGATACAACACCGGAACGCTTGTAGTTATCACTCTAATCGACGGACCGAAAATACGACGTTCCGACTTCCTGTGTGTGTTTCCGTTTTCAGCAAGTGTAAAAATGCGTGTTTAGGAGCATTTTCTTGTGTTTTTGCTAGTTTAGCTGAGGTTGTTAGTTTTACTGTGACTCACGCGGCGTGTTTTCAACACAGTGCAGACACAATGAACCACATATTCCGCAAGGTAAGGCTAATTGGGAGCTTTTTGTGCTAGCTGTTAGCTTTTAACTAGAGGTCATAATGGAGCGTAGCTCTGCTGTTTAATACCAAAAACTATTTTTATGGCACCTATGTTGCTCTTTTATGTTACGAATACATGTATGAGACGTTTTTGTAATTTTGTAAAATATAATTTATATATTGAAATATATCACCAACATTTCTAAAGTTGATATAAAGTGTGTGAAATCCCTCGTTTTTCATCCTTCCCAGTTGCAAGTGACTTTCCCACAGCAGGCATCTATTCTGAATCAGTCGTTATGCAGGTACGTCTTTGCATTGCCTTTCAATATTGTCATTTGATTTAATGGTTGACTCCCTCTGGTGCTTGAAAACTTTAACAGCAGTCACGATGTTTTTGATTGTCCTGTAATCTTTGCAGAGCCACACCGTCCATTCAGCATCCGGTGTGGTGTGAGTACAAAACCTTAGAAGTGTTGCTTCTCCATACTGTTTATGTCAACATGCTTTTGAGTTTTTGTTTTGTTTCAGGTACTGCAGCTATAAATGAAAGACAGTACAGAGATATGCCAACACACGGGATTGGACGGTGGAGGCATTTGTTACTCAAACAGGCAGTAAGTCTCCAAAGTTTGATACAAAGTTAGTCATATTAAAATACAATCACAGACTGTGTTTTATCATTTATCAGGTAATATTTGAGGCTTTATCTCTTAGATCTGAGTGAGGTTTTAGCTTTCTTTGTGGCCACATGGTCTACAGTCAATGGGTAGATCTTAAAGTTGAGGAGGAACGTTTTCCCTCCTCAACAGATAAAACTTTTTTAGTTTTATCTGTTTAACAACTTTTGTCAAATGTCCTCATCAAAATCATCAAAAATGTTGATCAATGTTTTCACTACTAATCAAAGGCTACTCTAATCTGGTGGGTGTGTAGCATTGATTTCAAGGAACTCGGTGTTTCAGCATCTTTTAGGTTTGTATGCCAAATCATTCTTTTCCCAAATCTTCCTGAAGCGTAGAAGCTGCCTAACAATTATGCACATCTCGATTGGTAGTTGATCGTCTTAGGCCACACCATGTTTCATTATAAAACACCTGATTTACTTTACTTTATGAAGGCTTTTTTTTTGTTGTTCAGCCCAAGAAGAAGAAAGACAGAAACCAGCAAAAAGAGCTTGTTTCAGCGACTGATACGGCGTACGGGACTCTGAACGTGACGGTGTCCGGGTACGACATGACCGTGGTGGAGCATTACTCCCAGTACATCCACAACTTCTGCAACCGGCTCAACATCAAAGTGGCAGAAAGGTGACGATCAGCAGGAGAAAGCTGCAGTGCAGCAACAGTCTCAGGATAGTAATCACGAATATGAAAGCCATCTCAAAAACATAAATTTGAATTGATCATGGATTTCCTCCCAAGAACACAGAGGTTTTATACAGGACTTGTACAGTCCCCTC